GGTCTAGAGATCACTTGACTGAACCGCGACCCACTGCTCTGCCTCTGCGGCAACAAGCACCTAGACCAGGGGAGGCACAGCTCTTTCTTACTTACGCCCCCTTCTCCACGACTGATTTATATAATTGGAAATTACAAAATCCTCCATTTTCTGAGAAACCACAAGCGTTAATATCACTGTTAGAAACTATATTTGTAACTCACCAGCCGACCTGGGATGATTGTCAGCAATTGTTACAGGTTTTGTTTACCACGGAAGAAAGAGAAAAAATCATGGGGGGGGCCCGTAAACAGGTACTTGGTCCAGATGGACGGCCCACTGATAACCCCAACCTAATTGAAACCGTGCTCCCTAGTACCCGACCGGAATGGAATCCTAACACGGAGGAGGGACGAGGGGCTTTGGCCCATTTTCGCCAGACTCTGTTAACAGGACTTCGGGCAGCAGCACGAAGGCCAACTAATACGTCCAAGGTTACAGAGGTGACCCAGGGAGCCACAGAGTCTCCAGCCGCCTTCCTGGAAAGGCTGATGGAGACTTATAGGCTATGGACCCCCATAGACCCTGAGGCACCAGAAAACAGGCGGGCAATTAACTTGGCCTTTGTGACACAGTCGGCCCCAGATATCCGAAGGAAATTACAAAAATTAGATGGTTTTGAAGGGAAGAACTTATCTGAATTGGTAGAGATAGCATTAAAAATTTATAATAATAGAGATGAAACTGAGAAGAGACAGTTAAGGCAGGTATCCAAAGTAATGGCGGCAGTCCTAAATGACAAACCTCCCCCAGGGGGGAAAAGGGCTGACTTCCAACCCAAAGGGAGAGGACAAATATCCGGCCCACGAAAGCCCTTAAAGAGGAACTAATGTGCTTATTGTAAAAAGGAAGGACATTGGAAAAAATGAATGTCCCGAACTTCCTACTAAAAAGGAACAACCCCGAAAGGGCCCCGAGGTGCTAGAATTAGACTCAGACTGAAGGGGTCAGGGCTTGAGCCCCCCCGAGCCCTTGGTAAACTTAAAAGTGGGGGGAAAACCTAAGACGTTCTTAATAGACACAGGGGCCACGTTCTCAGTCCTCCAATCAGATTATGGACCGAAACAACCAGAAAAAGCTTTGGTACAGAGGGCCACTGGGACTCAACGCTGTTTTTGGACCACAGACAGGAAGGTCGACTTGGGCAAACAAACAGTCACCCACTCCTTCCTGGTCATACCTGACTGCCCCTATGAAGGACTCTTAGGACGAGATTTGCTACAACATTTACAGACTACCATAAAGTTTGATAAAGCAGGATTTGAATTTGCATTCGGGCCAGACAAGCCTCCCTCCATTATGATCACACTGCCCCTGCAGGAGGAAGGACTGCTATTTGAAACGGGACAGAAAACACACCCAGAGTACAATCCTCAACTGGCTGTTTTAAGAGAGGAATTCCCCTTAGTCTGGGCAGAAAACCACCCCTTTGGGGCTACGGCCCATCGAATACCAGTGGTGGTAGAATTAAAGGCTGGATCCACCCCGATTCGACTACGACAGTACCCCTTAACTGAAAAAGCTAAAAAGGGAATAACCCCCCACATTAATCGGCTCCTAAAAGCAGGCATCCTGGTCCCCTGCCATTCCCCATGCAATACTCCTCTCCTTCCTGTTAAAAAGCCCAACAGTGAAGATTATAGACCGGTGCAAGATCTACGGGCAATAAATGATAGGGTAACTGACATTCACCCTACAGTGCCTAACCCTTACGCACTTTTGAGCCTGCTGCCACCAGAACAAAAGTTTTACTCCGTTCTAGATTTAAAAGATGCATTTTTCTCCATACCACTGGCCCCCAAAAGTCAGCCTTTATTTGCTTTCGAATGGACTGATGAGAGGGGCCAACCGATTCAGCTAACATGGGCACGGTTACCTCAGGGATTTAAAAACTCGCCCACTCTTTTTACGACGGCCCTACAACGAGACCTACAACCTTTCCATAACCAGTTTCCCGAAGTAACCTTATTACAATATGTGGATGATATACTTGTGGCTGGAAAAACTGTGCGGGATTGTCTAACAGGAACAAAAGGCCTAATAAGGTTAGTACAGGACTTAGGCTATAAACTCTCAATTAAAAAGGCTCAGATTTGTCAAGAACAAGTAAACTATTTAGGGTATATCCTAAAAGGAGGACAGAGATGGCTAGGAAAGCCACGCACTCAGGCCATCCTAACCTTACCAACCCCTACCACAAGAAGGGAATTGACAGAATTCTTGGGAATGGCGGGCTATTGCCGGCTCTGGATACCCAGATTTGCAGAGCTGGCCAAGCCTCTATACGATGCCCTGAAGGGCGTTAACCAGATTGGCCCCAAAGCCACCAAGATTAACTGGACTGAGACACAAAGAAAGGCCTTCCAGGACATTAAAAGGGCTCTTACCTCACCTCCTGCTCTGGCACTCCCCAACCCTGATAAACCTTTTGAACCGTTTGTAGATGAACGAGCCAGGGTGGCAAGGGGGATACTAACTCAGAAACTTGGGCCCTGGCGAAGGCCGTTAGCCTATCTCTCTAAACAACTGGACCCAGTAGCTTCCGGGTGGCCCTCATGCGTCAGACAAATTGCAGCCACTGCCCTGCTGGTAAAAGATGCTGACAAATTAACCATGGGGCAACAATTAACCGTCTTTACTCCGCATGCTGTTAAGACCCTTCTAAACTCCCCTTCTGAACGATGGCTCTCAAAACGCACGAATAGTACAATACCAGGCATTGCTCCTAGATGAGCCAAGGCTAACAGCCTAAACCCAGCCACCCTTCTGCCCACTGATGTTACCGAGAACACAATACCAGAACTTCATTATTGCCTGACGGCTCTGCAGACCTATACCACTCTTCGGCCGGATCTAAGTGACACCCCGCTACAGAATCCTCAACTAACTCTCTATACAGATGGCAGCAGCCTTGTGGAAGAGGGGATTCAAAAAGCGGGAGCAGCAGTTACGACGGAATCTGAGATTCTTTGGCAACAGTCCTTACCGGCCGGAACGTCAGCACAGTGAGCTGAGCTTATAGCGCTGACTAAGGCCCTACACCTGGCAAAAGACAAATCTGCTAACATCTACACTGACAGCCACTATGCTTTTGCTATGGCCCATGTACACGGACAGATATATCAAGAAAGGGGCCTCCTAACGGCAGAAGGAAAGACTATCAAAAATAAACAAGAAACTCTAGATCTTTTTACAGCCATCTGGAAACCAAAAAAACTTGCCATCATACATTGTTTGGGACATAAAAGGGGTGCCTCCCTAATAATAAAAGGAAACCAACTTGCTGACCAAGCGGCAAGACAAGCCGCTCGAAATTTAACCTCGGCACTGGTACAAAAACTGAAAATAAAATTTCCGGGACCCACATTGCCGGTAAGTCCCTGCTACTCAGCCAAGGATTTGGACTGGATACAAAAGAAAAAGGGGGGGGGGGGGGTATTAGATAACAAGAAGGAAGGAAATATATGGATTCAAGACAAAGATCACCGAATTTTTATTCCTGAGAACCTAGGCCTGATGTTGATACGACGCTTGCATGAGGGAACGCATCTGGGATCTACAAAATTACATGAACTGTTAAAAACTCGTTTTCGAATTAAAAACCTAAAAGAGAAAGTATTCTCAATCACTAGGCAATGTGTGACTTGTGCACAAGTAAACCAAGGGGCCAACTCGCAACACCAGGAACTGCATCGGTATCGAGGCAATGAGGCAGGCCGCCTTTGGGAAATGGACTTTACAGAAATAAAACCAGGAAAATATGGGTATAAGTACCTATTAGCAGCAATTGACACCTTTTCCGGTTGGGTGGAAGCCTGGCCGGTGAAATGAGAGACTGCAGCCACAGTAATAAAAAAAACTGTTACAGGAAATCATCCCTAGGTATGGACTGCCGCTCCAGGTAGGAACAGACAACAGACCAGCTTTTACTGCACAAATAACTCAAAAAGTAAGTAAAATACTAGGAATAGATTGGAAATTGCATTGTGCATATAGACCTCAAAGTTCAGGCCAGATAGAGAGGTTAAATAGGACCTTAAAAGAAACATTAACTAAATTGGTAGTGGAGACTGGCCAGAACTGGGTAGAAGCCCTTCCGATGGCTCTTTTACGAGTAGGATGTACCCCATATAAGAAGGGTTTTTCCCCGTTTGAGATTATGTTTGGAGCTCCCCCTCCGCTCTTGCCGGGAGTAGGAGAAGAGCTCCACCTGCTGACACAAAGGGAAAATTTAATAACCTCTCTCTTAGCATTACAGCAGTTCCAGGACCGGGTTAAACCCCTGTTGAAAGATGCATTTTCCTTACCCCCTGCTGTTCCCCATGCTTTCCAGCCTGGAGACTTAGTCTGGGTAAAGAAGCATAACCCCCAGACATTGGAGACTAGGTGGACTGGACCTCATCTGATTGTGTTGAGTACCCCGACTGCTGTTAAAGTCGACGGTGTCTGGACTTGGATTCATCATAGCAGAATAAAGAGAGACTACACCACAGAGGAACCAGAAGAGGACTCCACAGAATGGAAAGCACAGGCTCACCCGCAGGACCCCCTAAAGCTGCTCATTATTCGCAAATGATTTGGGGCTGGTTTCCTATGTTGCTCTGGGTGGGACAACTGGGGCAAGTGGGAGGATATCCTTTTTACGTGGACACTAACAGACGGATTGACTGGGCAAACTTTAGCCGAAAACGAAACATACCTCCTGAATACGGAAGACCAGGAATCAAGGGTTTGATTAGTTCCTAGAAAAAGGGGGGGATGTGACGAAAGAAACGGAAGAACAGCTTCAGGGCTAACAGCACATTTTGACTTCTGTAAGAAAGTTGTTTTGCTTACTTGCTTGGGACAGGAAGAACCGGGTTCCTGATTGGCTGATTCAAAATTAAACAGCTCCCTCCCGCCTTGGGAACTTCCCGTCCTGTGAAGGGTATAAAGGCCTCGCCCTACTGTTAGTCGGGGACTCACTCACTTCTCTCCGAGTGGGACCCTGTCCGGAGAGTTTGTGTAAGCTTCTATACTTGTATAAATCCTTTGCTAATCTTTCTGCTTGGTGTTGGTGATTCTCGGGAGTCCTTGATTGGGACACGGGTCGCATTTACCGGAGAACTCGACTACAGGCGTGTGGCTCCCGGACCGCAACATTATCTTCCTGGACCAGGGCTCGAATCCGTGTCCCCTGCATTGGCAGACGGACTCGTAACCACTACGCTACCAGGGAAGTCCCCAAAATGGGGTTTTTATTAGACCTACTTTATGAGGTTGTTTTGTGACATTCAATAAGAAAATAGACATGTTAAGTGCTTAATAAATGCTATTGTTAAGTCATAATTAGATAAAAGAGAACAACACAGATGCATTCTCTCCTGAAAACAGGTATAATCAAAGGCAGGAATAAAAAGTGCAAGGCCCCCAAGTATTGGAAGCAACAGGGAGGGAAAACAGAAGTTGAGTCCCCTGACAAGTTTCCTCCTCCCACTGACTTTATCTGGACCACGCTTGCTACCAGGCATGGAAGAGAAAAGAATGTCTGCGTCAGACTTTCCAGCTCTATTCAGCTGTCGAGACATTCCAGAATCACACTCATCTTCACAAACAACTTAATGCAGCTGAGGCCAAGCTGTCTTCCGGACTCCAGGAGCACCAAGGTCTTACTCTGCCATTCAAGGGTGTGAGTGTCTAGGAGGCATTAGGAAACCCCATGGACAGGTACAGAATGGATTCGAGAAACCAGAGTGGTACCTGGGACTGGATCATGGAGTAGATGCTGCTCCCTTCTCCAGGGGAATTCTGCTCCTGCACAAGAGATAGTAAAAGGACATATGGTAACGTGAGCAGACAGCTGTGTCTGTCTGAATTTGGATCGAGTCGGGGAGAAACAGCATAAGAAGAGGCGCTCCCAGGAACCTGGGAGGGAGGTGTTCTTTGAGCATCTCAGGATAAGGAGAGACAGTAGGAGCGACTCACCGTGCAGCAGTTAGTGTCAGAAGTGAGGAACCTCCCAAGTGTGAAAGAATTGCTTCGAGTGACCCTGCCCAAAGGGTCTTCTGTCACCTGCTTTACTTTAGTAACTTAGAAACTTGGCTTTGCTGACTTTCTGACTAAATTTGCAACATAACTACTGGTAATGGGCAGAGCTTTGGGTGGGGCTCTAATCTGAGTCTTACCTACAAGGACACAAATTCAGGCCCTCTAAATGTTCTAAAGCCCGCTCTCTAGATCCAGCTTTGGTGGCCAGCTTGCCTTTGGCCTCAAGCCAGCCTCTGAGCAGTGCTGGTGGTGCTGGGTGGAGCCCTGGAGCGAGGCCAAAGGCAGGGAGCACATGCCCTTCCTGCTTCTGTCTTCAGTCCTGTCCCACGGGAGACTGGGGCTGGAGGCATTTCATGCTGCTCGACCCCGAACACAGACTGCCAGGCTGGGCTCTGGGGGAGAGCCCATGGAGACCATTAGAGTCCATTAGACAAGGAAGAAGCTGAACTCCCCAGAAGCAGGAAGACGCTAAGAGGAGCAGAGAAACATGAGCCATCCGTGGAGGCTGGAGTCGCTGGCATCTGGCAAGAAACAGGAGTTTGTGCTTTTCTCTTCTGCCCAGACCTGAGTGAAGTGTCTCCAGAAAGGTCAAAGCTGGGGCCCAAAGTGAGACCACGTGAAGCTTGAGATTTAGGCCTTCAAGCAGAACCTTGGGGACAGTAGGGACAGGCCATAGAGACGTGGCCATGGAGGGAGGAAGCCCTGAGTCAGATGCAGAGTAACAGACCTGAATCCCCAAGAGGTCTCTTTTACTCTGAGTAGTTATTTTCCTTTGTCTTCTCCGTTTACTTAATCTAAAGTCACGTTCATTTTGTTGGGGAAGAAAGGTTATTTTTACTGAGCATTTGGGCATCCGTGGCTGTAGGAAGATGCACTTGCTCTCAGGAATTTGTACCAGCATCCAGTAATGATGGGAGAAACAAAGTCTCCTTTTGTTTTTCATGCCCCAATATTCCATGGGTGGGGCAAGGAAACAGGCCAGGGGAGCCACACTGATTCCTAATTCCCACTGAGCCCGGACTTTGGGAAGCTGCTTCTCTGTTCTATGAAGTCTCACAGGGCCTCACACCTGTGAAAAGGAAGAGTCCCACTGCTGTGACTTCCTGCCTCTCCCCCGCAGGTGAAGCACCAGGAATACGTGTGGGAAGAGGGCCCTTCCTCCCCACGCCCATCACCCTTCCCACCTGGCAGTTCAGCTGGGCACTGCCTTTCCCCAAGTCCTGTCACACAACCTGCCCTGCTCAGGGGCAGAACAGCAGGAGGGGCCCTGCAGCCCCCTGCAGTTTCCTCCTCTTCGACACCCCTGGATGACAGGCAGAGTTGACCACTACCTGAAGAGACTGACTGGCCAGAGAGGAGCTAACCTTTGTGCTAACCCGGTTACTCTCTCTAGCACCTCAGCCAGACTCGGGCCTCTTCCTCCCAAAGCATTGTGAGCACAGACCACTGAGCCAGCTGTGAAACTGCTGTGCTTTGGCTGCTCAGGCTGGCCTCCTTCTCAGCCTGGGCAATGATCAAGGGACCAGCAAAAGTAAACTCGGACTTGCAGGGACATGAGAATTTGTGGTCAGACACAAAGTACAAGAAGGTTGGACTCTTCATGGGGCTGAGCCTAGCTGGTAAGACAGAACAGAAATGAGGATACCAGGGGGCCATCCCTCCCCAAGAGGTGTGATGCTGCACCAAGATGCCCCTTCTGCCTCCTTCATTTTTTCTGCACCCAGGCCCCCTTGTTTTCCTCTTTTCCTCCATGGCCAGAGCTAGGAGGCTGTCAGAGAAAAGATAGATGGGGAGGACTGAGGACAATTGTCTGGTCCTCTTTGACCCCCTGCTCTGGATGGTCATTCTCCCAAGAGCATCTCCCAGACTAGTTGAGAGAAACCGCAGCCCCTAGGGTGCCATACTTGATTTCTCCTGGTTTGCACATCCTTTACATCTTCATAGATCGTCAGAAATTCCTCTGGTCTCGTCTCTGTGAGAGGAAAGCAAAGAAGCAAAGAAAAGAGCTGCAGAGACCTCCAGAGGGTGTGCTGTCCAGGCTTCTGCTTCTGGCAATCTTCCCTCCATCCCAGATGACCAAGACCTTGAGAAAAGTTCTAGAAAGGAGGCAGATTAGTGCTCTTCCTAGGATACCTGAAATGCACAGTGGCAGCAACCTGCCCTGACATACCTATTCCATCAGGCCAGGCAGAGTGCAGGTAAATCTGCACATTGGGGATCAGACTGTAAACATCCAGCAGCCACCCCAGAAGGCGTGACCTGGGAGAGAGGGCCCAGCAGCCACTGCTTCCCCTCCCCCAAGCACACACACACATACTTCAGTGCCCCCAAGGAAAAGCAGGTACAGGTCACTGGGGATGACAAATCAGGCAACACACCTCCTAGGAACCCCCCACTTACGTGACTGCTTCCTCTTCCACCTCCGCACATAAAAGCAGGTGAGGGCGCCCAGGAACAATGCCGTTAGGAGAATCACGATGCTCACCAAAGTGGACAGAAAGATGAAATCTGAGGGATATGGAAGGCACCGGGCCTGAGTTCTAAGCCCTCTCTGTTCTCCCTTCCCACCTGTCTGCTGCAGACAGTGTCTCAAAACCCACACTCCTCTCTCAAATGGCTGGTCTCCTGGCACCGTGTGAATTCATCATCAAAGTCATCTCTCTTCTCAATTGGGTGACCTCCCCTGAGTGATGCTAAGAGTCTGGGTATTAGTATCTCAGAGGCCAGGCTCAATTCTAATTCTATAACCTCTGTGCCCTTGGGCAACTTCCTTAATTAAACTCTCTGAGCCTCTGTTTTGTCACTTACAGAAAGGAGATAATGTTATCTACACAAGGGGGTTAATTACGGAGTCTAATATATGTAAAACATCTGGCACAGCAAATGTTAATCCATTCACTCTTTTGTTTTTAACTCAACAAACATTTGTTGCACACCTACTATGTGCCAGACAAGTCTTCCATTTCACCTTCTGCTATTCTTGCTTTCACTGCTCTTCATTCAAACTTTAACATTTGTGTCACACGTGTAGCCTCTTATATAACCCAGCCAACATGGGGAGAAGGGAAATGAATTAAAGTTCCAGATGCCAGCTGACTAGGCTCTTTACAAACATTATCTCATTTAACCTTAACAACAATCCTGTGAGGTACTTATTATTATCATCCCCATTTTACCCAAAAGAAAAATTGAGGCTCAGAGAGGTAATGCATCAGCCTGAGTTCACAGAGCTAGTGAATGATGAAGCCATGGCTGGCATGAACCAAACTCCAGTGTCCTTGTCACTCCACATTACTTCAGCTTGTTTGTTTCTTTTTTGCCCATGAATGCTTAGTGTGTTGCCCCATTTGATTATAAGTTCCTTAAGTATGGGAACTGTGGGTTGTTTTTTCCCGTCATGCCCATGCTAATGGCACAGTAATTCTTTGTTTACCTAATCAATAGTGGTGTAAACTTAACTTGGGGTAACTCTTAGGATGTGCATAAGCAAAAAAACCCCAAGAACTCTTCTAGCTACCCCCAAGATCATCCTGATGACCCTATGATTCAGAGTACTGTGTACAGCATAGTTACCTCTTGGGGAGCTATATGGTTTGGGGGAGTTATCACTCAAGAGGAGAAAGTAGATCTCCATCAGTCTCTCAGAGAAAGGAAGTGATGATCAGCATCATAGCAGGGCTGCGACTCACCAAACAACTAAGCATTCCCTACACAAAGGAGAAATGTGTATCTCCCAGAAGGAGATTCTTTACTGGGATAAAATTCTTCCCAGACAAAGACAGCCCTGAATTTATGGAAACTGTGTGCCTAGAGGCCAGGACCTCCCTGGGCAAGGACTGCAAAGCCCTGGGGGAGGCAGCCAAGGGATCTCAGAGCCAAGCCTCCTTTGCACATGAGCCTGGCTGTGGGGTCCCACACCTTCAGCCCCTGTAACAGCGCAAAGAGCTCCACTTACTTGGGTGGGCATTCAGACAGCCCTGTGTGAGTTGGAGGGTGTGGTTTGCCCAGCTGACAGGGTTGCTGACATTGCAGGTGTATGTGTGCAAACCACTGACATCAATCAGCTCCTCCAGTCTGGTGAGGTTCCTGGGTGTCTGAATCAGCTCAGTCCCTTTATACCAAGCATAGCTCACATCACCACCTCTGGAGACTGAGCAGGACAGAGTCACCTGGCACATCCCCCTGTCCAGGACCTTCCACCTCTCCACCAGCTGGGGCTTCTCAACACGATCTGGAAGCAGAGATGCTGATCAGAAAGGTGCTGGAAATACAAGCCCTGCAGGCCTCAGAGGTGCAGCATGAGCTGTCCTGAGGACTCACCAAATACAGAAACCTGGAACTTATGTCTCCAAACCTTCCCAGTGTCTTCAGTGACCTCCAGGAGGTAGAGGCCACTGTCCTGCTGCTGAACTGCCATGATGAGAAGAGTTAGGTTTTCTCTTATAAAGCTCAGTCTATTGTTGAAATGATTTGAAGTCCAATTCAAATTCTTCCCTATATCGCTCTGGCTGGAAACATTCTTCCAAGAGTATATAAAATAACATCTTGAATTTGAGTATGGCTGCATCTTCCATATAACAGAGTATGTCCTTATATGTATGCTGGGGGGCCGTAACCAGACAGACTCTCCCGAAATTCCAACCACATGATCAGCAGAACCTAGGGATTATAGGAAAGAGAACCCAGGCTGGAGGTGGAAAGAAGAGTTTCGAGCCTGAGCATTGTGGGTTGTTGGATGTGACCTCCCTTAAACCAAGAGGATGGAAATGCATATGAGGAGCCCAAAGTCTAAGAGAACCTGAAACTGTATCTCCCTTATCTGCCTCCCCTCCCTCCATGCTCTGTGCCTGAAGGGCCCACAAACCAGTAATAATAGCTAAAGTCTCCTGAGTTCTTATTATGGAACAGACAGGTTTTAAACACTTTACATATTTTTACTATTTCACTTTACAATGACCCTAAAAGAGTCTTATCCCCATTTTACAAGTTAGGAAACTGAGTTAGAAAGAACTTAAAAGTAATTGGCCCAAGTTACACAGTGAGAAAGATGAGCTTAAAATCCAGTCAATTTGGCTTTAGAGGACGAATTCTTAACCACAATGTTATAAATATCATATATGATGTCACTCCTTCCCTGCAGTGCTGATGTAAACAACAGTGGCCATCAGTGACTGCTGGAAATTCTTAATGGCCAGACCTAATAAGACTAACCCTCCAAGTTGAACTAATGGCTCCCTCCTCCATCCTGCATCCTCATAGAACTAGATTCATAATCCTTTCTTGTAGCACTGTGCACATAAGATTGTGGTCTTTATTCATTAGTGTTTGCCAATTTTTTAGTTACTAGAAAGTATCCACAGGATTGCTCCATAGAAAACAAATAGAGAAAAATAAAACTATATTACCAAGGCATATCCTAACACATCACTCTCTAAGGACCAAGATGGGGGCTAATGACCGTGAGAATGTGACATAGAGCTGCTTGTCATTGCCTACCCTAGAGTACCCCAGTGCAATCAATGAAAACAAGTGGAAATCCCTGTGGCCATTTTTGGCAAGGAAGCTATGTGGCATGGCCCAGTGGATGCTGGAAATAAAAAGGTCTGCCTTGGCAGGTTGAAAAGGGTCAGGGAGAATTTGGAGGAAAGAATAGAAGAAGGAGATAGTTATACAAACAGATCTGTTAAAATGGAGGACATTGAGAAGAGAGCGATGGAGAGAGATCTTTAGATGTCCACGTGCATTATAAGTACACTCACTCCTAACCATACCTTCATGTCAGCATTTTCTCAAGAGACAAAGTAAATAATTAAAGGACTCGTAATTACTATCTGGTTAATATATGTTCCTCTGATTTGACACTCCTAAAAGTAAAACACATGAGGTTCCTATTCATAGTCCCATGATTTGGACTAGCTCTGCTTATTACCAAGCCAAAAGCAGAGACTGTGATATACATCTCTGTGACTTTGTCTCTTGAGGTCCTAGCACTGCCTAAAGATGTTGAGAACAAAGGTGAACAGAAAAATAATTACTAAACCTACAAAAAGGTCATGAACTGTCATCACCAATTATTCAGTCTTTACTGAGTCCCCACTGTAATGAGGGCCCTGAAAAGGCAGGGCCTCTTCATGTGTAAGATATGGTTCCTGACTCCAGAGAATTTGTGATCTGGAAATAGAACATGCTTTCATTCCACAGCATACATTTAAGGTTGAGATACATAATCATCTAAAGAATTCTAATTCTGATCATGGAAGACCAGATTAAGACATGCTAACCAATGCTCCCACTGGGAATAACTAGAGAAAATGGGCAAAGTAAAAAAGTACGTTGTTAATGGCATCAGAGAGCTAATAAAGCAGTATAAAGTTATAGGGCCAAGATCTGGAAGAAGGAAACTCAGAGAGGTGAAACCAGAATTTTTGACTGCTGCTCCTTGGAGGCATCTTCTGAGTCCATAAAAAGCAGCTGAAATGCTGAGAAGCTAAGCAGAGCTTACAATAAGCTCAAGGAACTAAGAGAACATGGAGTTCAGGAACCTCTTGAGAGGAAGTGAGTATACCTAAAATCCAGCAGATTTGGGGTTGGTACCATAAATGTCTACACACTAAGAGTAAGGGTGAACAAGAAATAGGCCAAGGAATTCCCAGGTGGCACAGTGGTTAAGAATCTGCCTGACAATGCAGGGCACACGGGTTCAAGCCCTCATCCTGGAAGATCCCACGTGCTGCAGAGCAACTAAGCCTGTGCACCACAACTACTGAGCCTGCGCTCTAGAGCCCACGTGCCACAACTACTGAGCCTGTGTGCCACAACTACTAAAGCCTGCTCACCCTAGAGCCCATGCTCCACAACAAGAGAAGCCACCGCAATGAGAAGCCCATGCACCCCAATGAAGAGTAACCCCCAGCTCTCCTTAATTACAGAAAGCCCATGTACTACAACAAAGACCCAACGCAGCCAAAAAGTTAATAAAAAAGGAAAGAAAAGAAATAGGCCAGCTCTCACAGAGATTGAAGCCCAGTTTTGAATAATTTCAACCCCGAATTGGATGAACATTATCTAATATCTCTAGTATTTCTAATCTGACTAGAGGCAAATATAAATTATTACTGGAGGAAAATAACAAAAACCAGCGCATTAAACTATTTCTAAAATTTTTCATACAACAGTGTCCAAAATGAAATAAAAATATAAACAGGCATAAGAAGAGGAAACATGTCCAAAAACCAAAAGAAAAAATAGAAATAAATCCAAGGGACATCTAGATAATAGTGTTATCAGCCATAAACTTTAAAGTAATTTTGTTTAACATGTTCAAGGAAATAAAATATGTTTGAGAATTACAGCAGAGAACTAGTGTGATAGAAAGCAAAATGGCCATGCTCCCTGAAATGTGACTTTGCAGCTCCTTCCATCATCAAGAGATAGAGTTCACTTTCCCATCTCTTGTAACTGGGCTGGCTTTCTGAACAGAATGCAGTAAATTGATGTTGTGCCAGTGCTAAGCCTAGATCTGAAGAGGCCTTGCACATGCCTCTTGGAATGTGCCTCTACATGTTCTCTTGGCATGTTGTCTAGCTGACATATAAACAAGACTCTGATAGCCTCCTGGAGGATGAGAGATCACATGCAGCAAGCTGAGGCCTTCTTAGATCAGCCGTCCCCAGTCAATCTGGCAGCTGACCATATATGCAAAAATGGTGCAAGCTGAAATGAAAATAATGACCCAGCTAAGCCCCGCCCAAATTGCCAACTAGCAGAATCACTGACTAAATAAGTGGTTGTTGTTTGAAACTACTAAGTTTGGATTTATTATTGCTGCTTCATTATGCAGCAATAGTTACCTGAAAAAATGAATTTTTTGAGAACCAAATGAAAATTGTAGGAATAAAATATAAAATAACTGAAAAATGAACTCAACTGAGACCTTTTCTGACCACAACAATATGAAACTAGAAATCAACCACAGAAAGGAAAACGGGAAAAGAACAAACATATGGAGACTAAACAACATGCTCTTAAAAAAACCACTGGATCAAAAGTGAAATCAAAGAGGAAATCAGAAAATACCTGTAGACAAACAAAAATGAAAGCACAGCCTTACAAAATCTATGAGATGCAACAGAAGCAGTTCTAAGAGAGAAGTTCATAGCAATACAGGCCTGCCTCAAAAAACAAGAAAAATCTTAAACAAACAACCTAAACTACCACCTAAAAGAATTATAGAAGAACAAACAAGACCCAAAGTCAATATAAGGAAGAAAATAATGAAAATCAGAGAGGAAATAAATAAAATAGAGATCAAAAAAAAAAAAAAAGAAAAGATCAATAAGTCCAAGAGCTAATTTTTTGGAAAGGTAAACAAAATCAACAAACCTCTAGCCAAGGTCACCAAGAAGAAAAGAGAGAGGACCCAAATAAACAAAATAAGAAAAGAAAGAGGGAAATTTTAACCACAGATACCACAAAAATACAAAAAGATTATGAGAATACTAATAGTTATATGCAAACAAATTGGACAACCTGGAAGAAATGAACAAGTTTGTAGAAACATACACCCTGCCAAAACTGAGTCAAGAAGAAACAGATCATTTAAATAGACTGATCACTAGAAGTGAAATAGAATCTGTAATTTAAAAATGAAACAAAACAAAACTCTCTGCAAACAAAAATCCAGGACTGAACAGCTTCACTGAGGAATTCTACCAAACATACCAAGAAGAACTTATACCTATCCTTCTCAAACTATTCAAAAAAAATTTAAGAGGAGGGATTACTCCCAAATTCATGGCTTCTATGAAGCCATCATCATCCTGACACTGAAACCAGACAAAGACACCACAAAAAAAGAAAATTACAGGCGAATATCTTTAATGAACATAGATGCAAAAATCCTTAACAAAATGTTAACAAACTGAGTCCAACATTACATAAAAGGGATCATACACCATGGTCAAGCTGATTTCATTCCAGGGTCATAAGGATGGTTCAACATACATAAATCAATCAATGTGATACACCACATTCATAAAAGAAAGACAAAACCACATGACTATCTCAACAGACACAGGAGAAACAATTGACAAAATTCAACATCCATTCATGATTTTAAAAAAAGCTCTTACGAAAGTGGGTATAGAGGGAACATATCTCAATATAATTAAAGCCATTTATGACAAACTCACAACCAATATAATACTCAATGGTGAAAAGCTGAAATCCTTCCTGTTAAAATCTGGAACAGGACAAGGATGCCCACTCTCACCACTTCTATTCTACATAGCATTGGAAATCCTAGCCATAGCAGTCAGACAAGAAAAAGAAATAAAAGTTATCCAAATTGGAAGGGACGAGGTAAAATTGTCATTATATGCAGATGACATAATACTATATATAGAAAGCCCTAAAGACTCCACACAAAAACAACTAGAACTGATAGATGAATTCAGCAAGGTAACAGGATACAGGATTAACATACAGAAATCAGTTACATTTCTTTACATTAACAATGAAATATCAAAAATGGAATGTAACAAAACCATACCTTTTAAAATCACACCAAAAGAAAAATAAAATACTTAGGATTAAACCTGACCAAGGAGGTGAAAGACTTATATGCTGAGAACTATAATACATTAATAAAGGAAATTAAA